TTGGCTCTTTCTGCTAGTCATGGTGGCTGAATTGACCAGGAATTGAAAGCTTACCATGTTATGCAAACTGGAATTATTGGCTTGTTTCTCCCAAATGAGTCAAGACTTACAAACCAATAACAAACCTTAGTTAATCTTGACTTGGAAGGGGCAGAACAACATAGTGTTCCTGTTCTGGATTTCATGCTAAACTTTCAATACCCAGTTAGTTCAGTTGTTCCTGGTGGTAGGACGAGTCAGGAAGAACTGAATGAATTACATGCCTGTCCTGAAGTGTTCAGGTATTTGGCACATCGTTGCATTCATTGGCCCATTGCCATGCTTCTCAAAACCCATGAAGGAAGATGGCCACAGGAAGAGCTATTTAATATGTCCTTCTATTTGGGACATTTAAGTTTGGAATCAACTTAGTTAACTTTTGATAACTTAAGACAGTTTGATAACTGCAGGTAGCACAGCCATAAATCTACCTGTTTTCCTTTGTCTCAATTGATGCTATGATAATTGTTGGTACTAATATTAAAGGGACATGGGAGAGCCCCTACAGTTAAGGATAGTTGTCAGAAAATGTTCTACTTTAATAAGCTGCAAAATTCTACTGCATAGAACAATGACAGATTTAGAGCTAATAATTTGAAACCTGACTTCTTTAATCTACCTAATGTGGTGTAGAATCATACAGAATTTAAGACCAACCCAATGTAAATTGTTCAAATACAAGAAGTTTTTAAAAAATTGGACACTGTTGTACTTTTTACTTAACTGTGTCTTTGCATATCAGGTATTTCTTTAAAATTCTTGGGGAAATTACTGCTATTTTTATTCAGGGTTTCTGAGGAGGTATGCCTTTTATTGGTTGGATGAAATTCTGAGCAGGAGGTTAAAAATTATTCTTCCAGATGAAAGCCTATGGCAGCCAGTGCTAACAAAGTTACAAGCATACTTAGTTTCACGCTGAGGCTATAATGTTCCTGTGTGTTTTGAATTCCACTGTTCCCATTAGGTTTTTGACAGAGGGAAGGGTAGCCGGGAGCTGTCAGCCGAGATAAGAGTGAGGTAAATTTGATGGTGGAAGTAGTCATTTTCACTGATAGACAGATCACTGATGGCAGGAGGGACAGGTAGGACACAAGCTATGTTGGAATCCTGTGCAAGCTTACTCAAAAGCAAGCTGTTCTGAACATGCAGGGACATGAATGATTCTTATGCATATACACAGTTAATGACTTGTCTCCCTGTGTGTGTTTTTCAGAACAATGTAATAATTTTTAATTTTTTTAACCAGGGAAATTCAATTATAAAAAACCTGTTGTTTTAAGACCAGACTTAGGGCTATCTCATGTTGGCTCAAGCTCCACAAAGCCAGGAAATTGGAAGCTATGGCTCATGCTTTAACAGATGTACCCCATCACCAGTAAAGATGTTGTGCAGTGTTTCATATTGTGCTCACTTACAAGCAGCATACAGCCTGGAGAATTCCTCTAGCAATACAGTTAGGTTCAGATGCTTCATAAATCCATTCAAGACCAGGACATCATGGGCATCTTTGTCCATACACCCATCTGGATTTGGGCCTGAAAAACCCAGAAAAAGTTCAGGTGCATGAAGGGAAATTTGAAAGCAAACACAGTTTGTGACAGTACTCAGTATCTTACTGAACATGGTGCATTCGGCCTACATTCTAGTTTCCTGCTTTCGTGGAACTTGAGCCAACATGAGATAGCATTAACCCTGGTCTTAAACTAGCATGAGTGTTGATGATTCAATATTTCATTCTCTGTACTAATCATTATATTGAAAGGCTAGGAGATGATAGTATTGTGAGAAAAAAAGAATTCTCTATCCCTGAGTTATACATTATAAATGTGATACAGGACACTATGAAGTAATATAAAAAGATATCAATCAATCTTTTGTTTTGTAAGCCGCCCTGAGGCTCTTTGTGAATGGGACGGTATAGAAATGTTTTTAAAAAATTAAATAAATAAATAAATTAAAATTAAAATCTTATTTTAAAAAGAATAAGTGTGTTTAAAAATAGTCCATGATCATCTGTTTTTTTTAAATGAAGCTGAATTTTAATACAAACTTGTGCAGACTTGTGATTCTGTTGGTCTTAGGGAGTGCTATGCCCTTCAATTCCTAGGTCTTGGCAATGTTTTCACTTCTCAAGGTATAAGTATCTATGATGCTGCCAAGCAAATAACTTAGACATTTATTTTTCATTTCATAAAGAAGCATTATTTTGCACAATATTTCCTATACCTTGCTTCTGGATACTGGTTACAGCTTGAGCCCACAGATATTTATGCAGTAGTATGTTTACTATCCACAGAGGGACTTACTTCTAAATATGTTTACATAGGTCTAACAGCCTTAGCCTTCAAGTAAATGGTCTTGTTTAGATCTTTGAATATACAAAGGTAGAAACAAGTAGATACTTGTTTCATAGTACTGTGGTACAAAGACATGACTAAAGGATTTGGGTAAACATAAAGGCTCTAACTGCAAACCATTTTTTAATTATTAAAGCAACCAGTAGTATGTGTGCTTGTTTAGGAAGGATATAGGTTTAGGAATTATTTCACTAATTATTTAATTATTATTTCTTGTTTGTTTAAATCATTTATCTAAATCAGTTTGATTTAAAGCCCTCAGGCCTGCTTGTAAGGCAGGATGTGAAATAAAAATGGAAGGGAACTTCCATGCTCACATTCCTCTGGCTTTTAGACAAGGAAATCTTCTTTGGTTCTGCAGGATCTGTGGTTTTCTGCGTATGAGTCACTCCACATTTAGCTTCGAATTCCTAGTTTGTGTCACATGCGACAGTTTGCTAATGTCCAGATGAAGCTTGTGCGTTTAGATCCTTATGAGAGTTTCAGATTGTAAATTTTTTTATCCTGAGTTGGTATTCTATATTGTAAGCCAAGTAAACACTCCTCAGCTCATGGAACTTTAAAGGTAGAATGTTGAATGGGACCTAGAAGAGGACCTAAGGTCCCCTGTTGTTCCAGTGGTATGGAGCTTGTTTCTTCTTTCGCCACGTTCTTCTTTTGCAGTGCCACGCACCCTGATGTGCTTATGTTCTACATGATTATGAAGCCTATCCTGATCTATGAGATACCCACATTCTTACTGGTTTTTCTCTTGTTACTGCACTAAAAATGGTTCTGACATAAAAACAGACTCAAGCTACTGATTTAATAATTTTGAAATCTCATTCACAGGACAGAGGTGCTTTCTAATTTTTTTCAGCATACAATAGTTGTTGAAGTATTGTTTAATTTCTGAAATTGCAAGATATTGATGACTTGAAATTTTGTTGCAACTGCACCTTGCTAATAAATTTTCTGTATATGCTTCTTCCATGCTTATTGCTGTGCCATATTTAGTTCTAAGCCACTTTAGCATGGCGTTTGAAGCAAATATGATCTTTGGAGATTGCTTGGAAAGATGACCTGTTGAGCAGTTCATTTTCAAGAGCTGTTCAACTAATCCTTGCAGTTGTTTCTGAGTATGATCAAATTTAATGAGTGCCCTATTTAGCATATCTGGTTTCTTATTTAATATTTAACAGGCAGAGAAAATGATAGTTATATCCTCTTGGCAGTAAAGTAGGTCTCCCCCGTGTCTGTGTAAGTTTTCACGATGTCCCAGATTTCAACAGAATTACAAAAGCTCTCAGTGCCTTCTGGATGTGTAACTCCAGTATATTTATTAATATACTTGTCATTAAAATATATTGTGAAACATCATGCTGTTGATGTGCACATACTTTTTTTCAATTTTAAAATTTCTGTAATGAATAAAGCCTCTTAAGTTGTAGGAAACACCCTTGCTACTGCTTGGAGGAATGACTGCTTGTTCGTCCTATCAGTTCTCAGTGCTTCAGTTAGTCACCTTGATCTGGAGTGCTAATATTTGTATGGTTATGGATGTTAAGGATTAATTTTGAAGAGCAAATTATGAAAATACTTACACATTTCTCATTTCTCATCCAGTCCTCTTGCACTAATGGGCATGACTGCCAGTACAATCGGACACTAACACTTCCTAGAACAGCCCTGGAAGCTAGCCAAAATGTTCATCTTTGGAATGGGATGGGCCTGCAGAGCTTGTGATATGCTGCTTTCTTGTTGCGCTGAAACAAGAAAGGTCATTCCTACTTCAGGTCATTCCTACTAGTGCAACCTAATCACCACTGGTGGCTGAACAATGTTTTATCTTTTACTTGTCATATAATATTTAAACCCTTGCAAGAGTACTTTTAACATGCTGCTTGACGTATGTTGGGAAGAAAGCATCTTCATTACTGGAACTTCATTTAGCAACTAATTTATGTACGTGATGGGCTGACTTCGTTTTAAAAGTCCACGTTTTAAAAATAAACACAAATGACTAATTTCTATCACAGAGGTGTATGGGAAGTCAAGGCCAATCAACAGTAGAGCCATTGGACATTTCAAAGCCAAACAACACTGTGAGCAAATCGTGTTGTCACAGTGTATGAGTAGTATCATAGCACAGTAGAGTTGGAAGGGGCCAGAGGGCCATCAGGGCCAACCTCCTGCTCAGCGCAGAACTCCCAGGTTAAATCATCCTTCTCAGATGGATATCTAGTTGCAGCTCTGTCTTAATGGGCAAACCCTTTATATCTCATTCATGTACCTTGATTTTATCTGTGCCCCATTTAAAGAAACATAGTAACATTTTAGATAAAGAACATAAAAGATTTAAAATTGCTAACAGGTAAAATGTAAGTATGAGGAATCGTGCACTTCTTTTAAAAGTCTTGTTCCTTCATTACAGGAGGCTTTGGCAAGCCTCCCTCCAGCTTTTAAGCATGTGGTATAATCAGATGATTTATTTTCCAACCCATCCTGCACCCCATGAAGGTTGAGGTATATTTAGTTAAAATGCTATAGTTTCGATAGTGGGGACAAGAAGCGAATCAAGCCTTCCTTTGTATTGGTTAATTTATACGTATTTCTTTTATTTAGATCACAGATCTTTCACTACCAAACTACTTGATGGCTTCTTCCATTGGATTGCTTCCGACTCAGCTCCTAAACTCCTACCTGGGCACCACCTTACGCACCATGGAGGATGTTATTGCGGAACAAAGTGTTAGTGGATATTTTATTTTTAGTTTACAGGTAGGTTGGTTTTAGAGCTCATTCAATATTTCTGGACTTTTTAGGGGAATGGGGTAGACTCCATTTCTATATATGGTAAATTAAATATCCCACTATATGCTAAATAGAATTATTCAGTGAACATAATTAAGCATATTGGCTTGGATTCTGAGCACCCCTTCCATGAATGGAAGACTTTTGATTCTCTGGAGAATCCTGCAAGCATGGGAGGAGTCATTGTTTGGTAATGCCTCCCATGTATCCCTGCCTCCAGGTTTCAGGGGTATTTCCATTATCCAGAGCAGATTTTCATGGCATGAAGGGGCTGTGGGAAAGCAGGGGAGTTCTCTAAAGTCATCTTTCACATTTCCATTGTTTGGGAGGATCCCAGGAGCAAAACTCTGCTCATTGCCTGTAGAAGGGAACTCCAAATCCAAGACAATAGTTTGTTTAATGGTTGGAAGCCACTGCAAATATTCTCAGTACTGAAAAGAGGAGCAATGCTAGTAATAAATAGAGCAAGTTTCTGTTAAGAAAGATGAGATTTGTAGGTTTTTGCATTAGAAAGGAATGATAAATGGAATAACAAAAAAATCCCATTTTATAAGGGTTATCAATTCTTTTTGTATTCACTGATCTGCTTACATGGTTGCATTCCTTGAAGTAACCTAGAAGTGAACTTCCCTGCGTTACTATTGAATTAGTATCTCTAAATAGTATGCAAAGGCTAGCAGACATTCCAAGTTCCAAATTATGTACAAAGAGAAACTCTAACTAAATTTCTGCTTGCACATCTGCTTGGAGATTTTAAGTTTACAAAATAGTATACTACTGCATGCACAACAGGAAAAGGGAGCAGAGCTCTGCTAGTACGGCAGTTTTTAAACTGATTGTACATTGGATTTAGGCCATGTTTAGATCCTTATACTATTGATGGAAGATCTCGTACCCCTCATGAAACAGAGGAAGCACCACAGAGCGAAGTCAGAGGCTGTGCATCTGCAGGAAATGTTAAGTTTCCTGTTAAGTTATTCTTTACTGGTATGGGTGTTCAAACCAGTTTAAGTCAAAACAGGAAAATTTAGCTCCCTTCACTATATTTCCATGCTGTGGTGGCTTCTCTTATGCCTTTATTACTGCTACAGTTAATAGTTTGCCACTTCTTGTTTTCTTAGGAGAAGTTGCTACTTATGCCAGGTAGCTGGGAAGACTTGCTGGAGTACTGTCATTTACCTTGGAACTATGATTCTAGGCCTTTTTGTTCAAAATGGTGGAGGAATTTTTTAGTTTTTCATTGTTTGCAGTACCAGATTTGATACTGTATTCTGTATTTCTTTATTTTTGTTCTGTAGATTCTGTATTTTTTTCCAGCAACTTGCTCAAAGTCAGCTAGGAGATCATTCCAGGACCCATAGGATGGCTCATAAAATGTTTCTGAAGTTTGGAAACAGTGCCCTAATCTTGGATGGAGGAGTTGAGAATTTCACTTGAGACTCCTTCCCGTTGCAGTCGGTATGGAGAGAACTATGCTGACTACTTCCCAAGGTGGGAAAAGCCATCTTGGAGGAGGAAGAAAAGGGGTGTTCCAGAGACTGAGGAGTAGAGAAGGCCAGAACGCCTAGAATGTGAATTATCTTGAACTTTCTTCATCCCCCTTCTCTTCCTCTGAAGCAGTCTCACTAGGTGGGCTGCAACTAGCAAAAATACATGTGACTAGAGAATAGGGAGGTGAATATCACTACCACCATTCCTCCTGCCTTGCCAGCTTCAGCCAAACACAGGCAACTCAAAAATAAGGAGTACATTACAAAGTTAAGTTTGATTTTGGGAACAACGTGGTATTTGAAGAAGCCAGCAGAGTGTAAGTTACTTACACACTTAACCTGTAATTTTATAACAGGCTTTTCAAGGATAATTAAATGCACAGGGAACTTTTGGGGATGTGCTGCATTAGGATATCATGCAATGGGCTCAAAACCCCACATCCCAGACAAGGGATATTCATCGATAGGATCTATCACAACATGCAAACTCTTTCTCTGGTTGTTTGTAGGTGTACATACATGCACCCTTCAAATTTTGTGAGATTGTAATGTTGACCAATCAATACACATGAAACTATTTTTTAAGGATACCAGCTAGTACAATGCTAAATAACTTCCCTCCCCTCTTCTTCCTCCCCCCTTCTCCCCCAGCTTCTGTCAGAACAGCCTTTCTGAAACAAATGTTATCTGCCTCTGGTATAAGGTATAAGATATAAGTCTCTTTGAAATAGGACTTTTGAGAGGTTCTTGTAGAAATGTGTGAGGAATCCATTTTGGTGGGGAGAATGTGTCAAATTCCCTGGGCTTGGCTCCCCAGGCTCCAATCCACTTTGTTGTGATCATGAATCTTTTTGGCTTATGTGTGCAGCATTCATGTGGAGCTTGCCAGGAACTGAACTACACACAATTGCTGTGTAAGTCATGTCCCTCTTCTGTGTCATGTGCAGTAGTTTTTGTGTTGCACATGATGTGGAAGAAGATTGCAGGTTGTGCAGCCAGACTTCTGCAATTGTTTGCAGACTTCTTCTCAGCTCACTTTCTAACACAGGGCTGAGCATGAAAGAAAGTCTGTGGACACTGAAGGCATGCATTCCATGGAGCTTTGCTGTGACCCTAGCTCGCAGTAATCCTGAAAGGTAGGCCAGGATTGCTGCCTCCATACTAGGAGATAACAGGGCTGAGCTTGGTAGGGTATGGCCATTTAATGAGTTCATGGAAGGGGTGTGATATGGACAAACAGCATGGATCACAGCTCTTTTCTTAGCTGTAAGGGCTCTGTCACTCCTGCATTGTTAAACCAGAACTTAGATGAAAAATTATCAGAAGTATTTTATAAGTTGAATTTTGTGTTGTTACTTTTGATAAGATTTTTCCTTCAAAACATGACTCTTACACTGTACCAAAGACAGGCACACAGGTTCACTGAATATTATCAGCAAAGAATTGAGTCCTCAGTTACTGCTGTCCCTTCTGTGCTACTTTTCCTGATAGCTTTTAGGCATGTGCGTTGTGACAGTGTAGGCTTATGTTCTTTTTTAATGAAGTCATTGCTAAAGATTTTTTGAAGTCTTTTACTTTCTTTCCTGAAGTATAAACATTTTCCTTGTGTTCATTATTGCTGCTGAAAATATTAAGCAAGAACTATTCCTTTTGTTTCATTCACAGATTGTAATAAGTATAGGTCTCATGTTCTATGTTGTTCACCGGGCTCAGATGGAATTGAATGCAGCCATAGTTGCATGTGAAATGGAAATGAAGACATCGCTGGGTAAAAGCAGTCAGCCAAGCAACAGCAATTCAGCATATTGCAGCAAGAGGACGCTTGCATTTTCTAGCGGAGGAATCAACATTGTATGACTGCTGCTCTCCCTCCGAAGTATTACATTAAGGTTTTGTGAACCTGAATTCCCTAACTTATTGCCTAGACATTTTTCTGGACATCTCAGCAAGACTTAAATCCCAAATAGCTCAAAGATATACTGTGGTACAAACCATGTTGGCAGTTTTTCAAAGAAAAAATTGGCGATCATTTGTAAGGATCAGTAGTTGGCTAAGTAATTATAAATGTAGATGCAAGTCTGGCTGCACCTTTTGTCATTATTATACTTGTCATGGCTTGTAGTCTACACTTTAGCTATAGTTTTGGGTTTGCTTCTATGAACCGAGGAATATATTCCTGAAGCAAATATTTTTTCTGCTTACCGTTATTTATAAGGCTGACAAATATATACATTAGATCTTTAATACTGACAAGCAAGTGTAAAGTATGCAATTTCATGTACAGTCTCTTAGCTTTCAAAATATTTCCAGAAGGAGTATGTTCTCCCTTCCCAGTCAGGCATCCAGCACAGGGAAGGTCCCACCTCTGTGGTTGGGAAGTCAAGAGAAGCACTTCCTGAGGAGTCTCTCCCTACATCCATAGTAACTCCATAGGCATCTTACTGTCTGCAGCAGGTTACAGGGGTTTCCTGTGGCTCATTGGCAGCAGCAGGCTGGGGGATGGGGCGATATCTGCTAAAAAGCAGGGTGGTTTTGTTGTATGGGAGCCACTTTGCTCCTTATCTTGTTTTTTTTTTAATTTGGGGATAGACTGGGAGGTGGGAAGAACACCTTATATAAGTCTTTGTTTGAATGTATTTTTGTAAGCCACTAAAATGTTGTGGGGCCATTTATAATTTTTTCACATACGTTTAAATCCTACATTGTGGGACTGAAGTGCTCTTATATAAGATTTTAAGTTACACTGTGCAATATGCAAAGTAAAAGGGAAACTGCAGAGTACCTAATAGTGGCAAACAGTGTAAGGGAGAACTTGCAGGTGAAATGCACATCTTTGACTTGGCTTTACCATTCTTGTGAGTAACAAAAGGGCTCTTCCATTACAATCCCATTTCTAGCAAGTCATAAAAGAGTTTTGGGGAGCATAGATCAGCTTCACTTTGTTCTGGGCACTGCAAGACTTTAAAAAGCAGGAGGAACTAAATCTTTCTGAAAATACTATGGTACTAGTCTCGTGGCCTTTATTTTATAGGGAAGACCTTCCGGTTTTTCTTCTATAAAAGCTTTAAAAATCAACACAATTCCTCCCTAATAAACTTTCCACCAAACATAAAACAATGCTTGTCTTGTATGCATTTTGTGCAGGACTTCTGCCAATGGAGTGCTATGAAGATTACGCATGTTCCTGTCTTGTTTGGATTTGTATTAAACATTTGCAAAAATTAGGAAAAGACAGGTTTTCTATCTTTAAAAAATGACAAGAAAAGGGCAGAAATGTCTTTGAGACTCAGGAATCTGTAAATGTTTTAAAAAGAATATACTTCATATGATGTGATGGACTCTCCACAGAAGGATCACCAAGTAGCTTCTTCATGGGTTTGAATGGATAAGAATAAACCTTCCTGTGCTTGTGTGTGTCATTTTCATAATTCTTTACAGATACCTATTTGTATACCTGAGTTCTGTTGTCACAAAAATACTTTATAGCAGTTGGAACCAGCACAAAACTACTTCAAACATGAATTGTCTTATTTTTGTCTGAAATCCTAATTAGTTCTGAACAATAAAGTACACATCTGGCTTTTATGATTTTGTGTTATGTATTCCTTTTTCCCCCAGTAACTTTTTTGTAAGTCTGTAGTGATGCAGTAGATTTCTTCTTGACATAAGTCAAGCATGCTTAAGTTCATTGATTACTCTGGACTTGATTCCACTTACTTTTGTGTTGGTTTGGGGCAAGTTAGTTTGGGCTATAGTTAGTCCCAAGAAGTCTTCTTAGGGGAACATAGCTCGCTTATTTAGTAGCTTTTTGAATGATGTTCATATTTCCGGGTAACACTTCATTGAATTTATGTTGCTGAAACTATTTGCAATGCATTGTTTTGGTTCTTTGAAAATTAAGACTTCGTTTACAATTTATGGGCACGGTTTAGCAATGAATGATTCCTGGCCCCTTTCTTAGCAAGATTTGTATTTGAAAAGTAATTCCAATAATGAAAGTAACGGAAATGTTTATCCCACTTAAGGATTTAGCCAATATATGTGTTTTGTAAATTCCTTTATTAATAACATTTTGCAAAAGGTATTTTCAAAGAATTTGGGTTCAGTCATGTTTTGTTTTCAGAATAATTTTTGCAAACTGCCAAGAGAGCTTTAGCTATTAGGTGATATAAAAATGAAATGAATTACTTCACTACATAAACTATTTTGGACAGAATAATTTTATTTTGCATTTTGCCTGTTGTACAAGTCACTAGAAAATATACTTAATCTTTTTCTGTATCTTGCCAATTATTTATACAATAAATTCATTATGTCTATTTAAATAAAATACATGGATATGTTTGAAGCACACTGGAGGAAATTTTCCTGCTTTAGAAAATATGTACAGAAATTTGTGCAGGGGCCCAGAAATGAGATTTCAATAAATAACTGTGTTTTTGTTGAATCTGTTTTGCAATAGAAAATAAGGTAAAAGCCCAAATACCAAGACTTTACATGAAGGCTTTGTTAGCAATGATGTTTTCCTATGTGACTCTATACAGAAGAAACAGTTTTACCATTTGCTTCCCATGATATGATATTCAGGTTTTAAAATAGATGCAGATACATAAGCAGTTGCTTTAGATGGAGTGAGACTAGTGGTGGTGAACCTATGGCAAGGCGTGCCATAGCGGGCACGCAGAGCCCTCGGTCGGCACACAAGCCAAGTTGCCTAGAATGGCCCCGGCAGCCGAGCATCGGAGGACAGCAAAACTAGGGGCCATGAGCACGCTCGGAAAAGAGTAGCGGTGCCAGGCAATGATGTCACAAACTAGAGCTCATTAGCCACGAAATGTCCAAGCTTTTGCATGGCTGGTCAGTCAGCTGCCATGGATATATCTATATTTATTTGGGCTGGATGTGAGTTGTTTTTTCTAAACCAAAACATCAACTTTCAGATGTTACTGTGCTGTTGGTAATTCACGATTAATAAGTGGGTTTTGGGTTGCAGTTTGGGCACTTGGTCTCTAAAAGGTTCACCATCACTGGGTTAGGGTCAGGAAAACAAGGTGTCTTGGCATGATTTAGAAGGTTGGAATGTGTTTAGAATGGGCAGAAACGATGAGCTGTGCAGAAAAAGCTACTCAAGGAATGCTTTTTCAAAATCGGTTTATTTTCAATGGAGCTTTTGCCCTGTATTAGGATTAGGGGTGTGCACCAGGGCCGGGTTAGGATTAGAAAAGCAAGGTGTCCTGGCATGATTTTGATGGTTGGAATGTGGTTAGAATGGGCAGAAATGATGAGCTGTCCAGAAAACGCTACTCAAGGCTTTTACAAAATCGCATAATGTTCAATGGAACATTCGCCCTGTATTAAGGGTTATGGGTGTGCACCATGGTAGGGTAAGGGTTGGAAAAAGACGTGTCCTGGCATGGATTTGATGGCTGGAATGTGTTTAGAATGGGCAGAAACGATGAACTGAGCAGAAAAAGGTGGTACGCAAGGAAGGCTTTTTAACATTTGGTTTATTTTCAATGGAAGTTTCGCCCTGTATTCAGGGTAGGGGTGAGCACCAGGTTAGGGTTACAAAAACGAGGTGTCCTGGCATGATTTTGTTAATTGGAATGTGTTTAGAATGGGCAGAAATGATGAGCTGAGCAGAAAAAGCTACTTAAGGAAGGCTTTTTCAAACTCAGTTTATTTTCAATGGAACTTTCACCCTCTATTCAGGGTAGGGGTATGCACCATGGTAGGGTTAGGGTTAGAAAAGCCTGGTTTCCTGGCATGATTTTGATGGTTGGAATGTGTTTAGAACTGTCAGCTTTCTTCCCTGCAGCACGCACGCACATGCACAGTGCTTGTAGCTTTTTCCTATTAGAAGTAATTTTCAGGTTTTCCTACTTGATCTCTGGGCACATATTTGATTTGCACTTTTGGATATCAACATTTCAGATAATTCAAGGACTTAGAAAAGGCCGCATGGCTCCAAGAGAATAGTCTGATTTGCATGATATGACAAGGCACATTGATTTATTGCACAGGACAATCTGTCATGTCATCCAAACACTGCTGTGGCATTTCAGTATGCTTCATTGAGCCTTTAGAAACCACAATAAAAACAATGGTCTGTATCTCCAGTTGTCTGAATGCAGCATTGTGGTTTGTACAGTGCTGATATGCAGCTACCACAGAGTCCTTTGGAGAGAGCAGCAGTTGAAGGAGCTGCTCACCCATCCCGTGTGAGGTTGAATTTCAAGCAGGTTTTTGATGGGATAGATGCAATAGTGGGAGTACTGAACAACGATGGAAGCCATTATACACCTGGACCCCAGGTTAAGAACAAGTTGTGTTCCTGAGATGGTCTTTAAGCATATAAAACACTTAAGAAATATCTCCATATACACTAAAACAACTTGAACACAATACAGCATTGTGTATTGAAGATAATACAGTAGTAATAAAATGACTACTGAAGAGAGACTGACTCTGTATGCATGTGTGTAGGTATACAATACCGTCCTTAACACAGTTTAGATAGAAAAAACCCCAAAATGATTATGTACCTAAACCCTAACCCTTTCCCTCCTTCCTCCCTTCTTTTCCTCCCTTCCTATTCTTCCCATCCTTCCTCCTTCCTTCCCTCTTCCTTCCTCTCCTCACCACCCACACCCACTGGCACCCACTTGCCACTTTCAGATGAGGCAGGACTTCCAGATTTGCTTGTCTGTAAATAGGGGTTGTTCTTAATGCAGACATTCATAACTGGGGGACTGTTGTAGTGTAGAAACCACTTGATTGTCTGGCACATCCCAGCAGAAAATTGTGCACCATGGAAAGCACTCAGGGTTGCTTGCTATATGGTCAACCTAGCCAGAGGCAGGGCTTTTTCCCAATATCTTTTCAATTGCTTGAGTAACACCATATGAAACTCTCTTTGGAATTTCATAAATCTCATAATTTGCACATTTACATCAGATTTTATTTGCTTCATCTCTTGATTAAAAAAAAATCATTCCAAAGAGAGAAAGAGATGTGTAGACTATGTTTAGAAAGTTCTCCTTTTGTGAGTATTCCTTAGAAAATTGTTTAAAATCTTAGTTTTTATATGTTTTATTTCTTGCTGGAATCCTCCACTTTTTAAGGGGAAGTTTCTGTATCTCACAAGATGCCATGTCTAACTGGGGCAGTCCCACATGATTAATTGGAAGTAATTACCAGTTTTTTGTACTTCTCTAGGCTTCATAAGAGGAGTCTCTGTGGATAGATCTGGGCAGCTCCAGGTCTCCATCTGCTGGCCGAGCCCCAGAATAACCGCCCTGGTAGTTGCAAGATTAGTTCCAGTTGCTGCTGAAGCACTCAGAGCTTTGATGAGCACTGCATGGGAACCCTGGGGAAAGAGCTATGTAAGAGCAGGCACTTCCCTCCAGGAGCTGTTTTAGCAGTACTGATTGAGGCTTATTCTTGCATTTTGCTTTTGAGCTTTTCTACTGATCTGGTTTCTGCCTTGCCTGCCCCAACCTGTTGTTCCTGAACCCTTCCTGGTTATCCTGTCCTGAGGTATCTGATCCTTGTTCTATTGCCTTGCTGATCATTGACCTCTTGCCTGTTGTGACTATGCTCTTGCCTTGCTCCATAATGTACTCCTGGTTCCTGATCTTGCCCTGTTTTTGTGACAATGGCTTGGATTTGTTATTCGACTTCTGATGGTGCCCTGGCTCCTGCTGGCTGGATCTGGGTTTATCTGCCTCGTTTCCTACTGTCCACCCCCTCAGACCCTGACTCTCTGGCTGCACCACTTGAACCTTTCAAGATGTCAGGCCCATGTTTTCTTCCTGGCCTGATAGTGCCATCTCTCTGGGGTAGTTCTTGTGCATAGAACATAGTGCTATTGCAATAACCTCCCAGCATAAGACCACTGCGTATCAAACGTCCAACTGGTGCACTAGCATAAAGCTTGCTTGGATAGGGTTCCCACTTGTCCAGCATTTTTCTTAGCTACAGTGGTGCTATGCTGTCCACTATGAACCATCAGTTCTGAAGGACGTGTATGTCTCACCTTCAGTTCTCAGAGCATCCAGTCCTAAGAATTCAGCTCTGCTGGATTTGCACATGACCAAATCTTGAAATGATTGGCACTTTGGAAACATGAGGCCAATAAAAACAGCCGTCTTGTCCCTAAAGCTGCATGTGTTACTGAAGCAGTCTTGGTACCAAAAACTTCTCTGTTTGATCCTCAAGCACCTTTGTCCATGACTGCCAAAGCTTTTGTTTCATCCTGGGCATATTGCTGGGTTGGAATTGTTTCTGAAACTTACCTCACTAAAGAAAGAAATGGGGAGGGGAACCTATCAATGCCAGCTTCATTCACTTTCTCAAGGTTAAGCTAGCTTTTTTCCATTTCTTTGCCAGCTTGGAAAAGAATCCCCCCCATCACATGTACTTTTAAAATAACTTCTTAATATACACATCTGTGCAAGTAATTCCCCCAACTACATTTTGTCTGATATTTTCACTAATACATTTGTTTTTGTGTGCAGTTTGATCTTATGTAAATGTTTATATTTTTATTTTAATTGAAGGAACTGCACCATAACACTGGCAAAAGAGTTCTTTCACATCCACAGCTGCATTTCAGTTCCTGATTCATATTGGGAAGTGAGTTTTAGGGGCATTTCTATTCAATACAAATATAACATATTTTGTCTGTTGATAAGGATCGTTTAGCACAGAATTTCCCCCAAAATACAAGAGGAAATTCCAAGTTAAAAGTGTACACAAATTGATTCAATTTAAATGTACGTGTACACACATACCACCCATTTAAGTAATGAGCATTTTGCTTGTGCAATGTGGATGCATGGTAAAACTTTGGAGAATTCTTATTGGCTTACTGAAACACTAAATCGCTTGAACAGTTTTGCCAACCTGGTGTCCTTCTAGCAATCCAGACAACAATCAGCAGTGTTGGGAGTTGTCATCCAAAGCTTCTGGGGTCACCATATTTCAGAAGACTGCTCTAGTTCCCCTGTTTGTTCTAGAACAAGCTAATGAGAAAATAAAGCAGAGTTTCTTGAAAATTTCATCTTGGAATAACCAGAACAGTGGCAGGAAGCCATAAAAACTTGTGACACCTTGTTCTTTGAAACATTCAGCTTTTCAAAGGCTAGTATTTGCTCAGATTAATGATGCAGTGGTATCTTATTTGTCTCCCAGGTCCCAAGTATATTTCAGAGAAACCAGGTGTTTATTAAATGCATACTTTTGCACAACAATTAAAAAGGGAGTGCAAGTAAATTAGGGAGGCTACAAATCAGACACATTAAATCTTGTTTCTTTGCCATG